TTGTCCCAGGAATTGGTGTCCCACTCGAGTTTCGAACCCGCGTCCTTGTTAGTTAGAAATCCAACGCTCTACTGAAGGTATATGAAGGCGATGCAGTCGTTAGTTTATAAGGTACAGTAAATTACCTATTTCATGAAATATCAATCGAAATTTTGAGATGTGTTTTCGATCCGAACATGTTGATTAAGTGTGGTTGTAATAGTAATAATCATACAGCCTAATATCAATATATTTCAGTCAACTCAGGATGCCGTATTTTACTGTAAAAACTGGCTACTTAAGTAGTATGCATTTTTACCATTCACTTTCACTGTCTTCGTAAATTCAAATATATTTCGTAGAAAACATGCACAAAAGTCTTCTTTCTTCTACTCACTTAATTGCAACTTACGCCTTCTTCGAATTTTATACTTTAAGGAAGGATAACTTTCGGTTTTATAAAAATTTTGCGAATAATTTTGAACCCTACTGGCCATCACACTTGAATTCACGGTCTCAAAACTACATGCTATATGCATTCTGTGTAAAGAAATGGCAGTATTTTCGTACAGAGTAAAGAAATTACATTAGCATTAATAATTGTAAAGGTATGTTGCTTTATGAATGCTCATTTCCCTGTCGTAAAAATCCCATAATTAGGAACTTTCTTAAGACCGAAAAATAACATTTTTGAAATTATAGCATTTTACAATGGCGTAATTTGCTATCAACCGAGTAGAGGAAATAATATTTTTGTGTATGCTTTCTATAAAATACATTTGGATTTATGAAAGCAGTGAATGCCAATGAGAATAATGCATACTAATTAAGTAGCCATTTTTTACAGAATGTACTTTTTTTCAGGCGGTGAGAAAGATGCTCGTTTAAAGGCCGGTATCCTGATGTGGCTGAAAAATTGCGCGATTAGGCTGTATGATAGTCCTTCTTTCAACCGTACTTGAAGAATGTATTACGAATCGAAAACATTTCAGAATTTCGGTTGACATTTTATGAAATAGGAATTCTACTGTATACACTGACATCACCGATGGTTACGTTAAACCGGATTGTATATCAGTTGAGACTTGCATTGAGGCATAGAATCTCACCTTCCACTCATAAGCTACAAGTTTCAGTTTAATAGAAAACCGAAATTATGAAGCATTTGCAAGGGTATTTGACCACGATATCTTTGGTCTCGATACTTACTAGTCAGACCGATACATTTGAATGTGAACGAGGCTGAATGAAATAGGTCAGTAATCAGAGCAATCGATTAAAGCTTTTCTTAACGCGAGCGTTGTATGGGAATAGGGAAATGGAAAGTAATCAGAGACAGTTTTTTTAGAATCCATTTCAGGAGTGACAGAGGCAGGGTGCGGAAATTGTGTGCAAAAGACCGGCTTTCGTAACCCGATGTCAACCGCTTCTGCTGTTTCTCGCAGACACTGGCCGAGTGGCCTAGAGACCTTATCATTAACAAAAAAAGTCTTGTTAGAGCCAAAAGATACCCGAAATTGGTAAGGGGTAATGTTAATTGCCAAAAGAATTGAATATGCGAGTTCCAGGAAGCAGTCCAGAAGAAGAGGATGCGATCACTGGAACAAGAGTTTTATTTTCCTGACGCTTCGGATTCCGTCGGGAATCCCTAATCATAGGTAATAGTAGAACAGTCTGAGACATGCGCAAA